CAATTTATATTTCCATCTTCTGATATTTTGAAAGTTTACAAATTCATTTGTTGAGATATTTTTTATCAGAGATTATTATTATTATTATTATCATCATTCGATTTCTGCTATGGACACACTACCTACCAAGTCTGCGGAAAGACCTAAGGCAGGTCGTGGTGTGTTGTTATGGCCACATTTCATGTTAATAATTTTTTTTTTTTTTTTTTTTTTTTTTATCTCCGATGAAGTTGCTAGCGTTACATAGACAAAGTTCTCCTTAGTGTGTGTGCTGTACTTAATAAGACAATTTTCTGTATGTCTCTTAAGCTGGGGTTTCCAGGGATTCTTTCAATGTGTTGTTTTGTTCCATTTTTTATAATTCCAAGTGCACCTATTACCACTGGTATTATTCTTGTTTTCAATTTCCACATTTTTTCTATTTCAATTTCCAGGTCTTTGTATTTTGATAGTTTTTCAAATTCCTTGGTTGCTATGTTACAATCCGCTGGACAAGCCATATCAATTAGTAGGCAAGTTTTTTCTTTCTGGTTTTTGACAATAATGTCCGGCCTATTTGCTTCAATTTTTCTGTCTGTGTGGATGGTATAATCCCATAGAATGGTGACATCTTCTATTTCTGTAACCGGCGCTGGCCGATGTTCATACCAGTGTTTGCTTACACATTTTCCAAAGTGTTTGCACATTGTCCAGTGTAAGTATTGCCCCACTCTATCGTGACGATTTTTATATTCATTTGGGGCAAGTATAGAACATCCTGAGATTAGATGGTCTATTGTTTCTTGGTATTTGTCACAGAACCTGCATTTTGGATCCACATTATTATGTATGATATTTGCCTGAAAATTCCTAGTGAAAAGACTCTGGTCTTGCGCTGCAAGAATAAAGCCTTCAGTTTCAGACTTTAATCCAGATGCTCGTAACCATCGATGAGTATTAACTTTATCAACATTGGGTTTATTTGCACGTTCTATTATTATTATTATTATTATTATAATTATTATTATTATTTCCTTGGGTTTCTATTGTATACAAATTTCCTTCCGGGCCCCAACCAGGGATCCAAGGTCAGAAATGGCTCCATGACATGATCAGTTTTTTGTAGAAAAAACAAACAAAAAATACAAAAAATAAGATTATACAGATTCTACGTAAATAAAGCTCTTCTTAATAAAAATGTGTGTGATCTTAGTTTATTATTATTATTATTATTATTATTATTATTATTATTATTTCCTTTGATTTCTGATGTATGCTCATTTCTTTCTGGGTCCCGACCAGAGACCTAAGGTCAGAAATGCATTGTGACATTTTCCAGTGATCAATTAAAAAAAAAAAGAAAACAAAAAATCCTAAAAAAATCAAACAAACAAAAAAAAAATCCCAAAAAACAAAAACAAAACAAAAAACAGATATCTTACATAGATAAAGCCCTTCTTAAGTTGCAGGCTATACTCATGAGAACATTTTTTTTTTATTTCTTTAAGGCATGGGCTTCCGGGAATGCCTTCAATTAGTCGACTGGAATCTTTTCCAACCAATCCGAGGGCTCCAACTACAGGAGGGATTGTTGGTGTTCCTTTGTGTCACATTTTTTAGATTTCAGTATCACGGTCCTTGTATTTTGATAGCTTCTTCTTCTTCTTCTTCTTCTTCTTATTATTATTATTATTATTATTATTATTATTATTATTATTATTATTATCTTAGTTTATTATCATTATTATCATTATTATTATTATTATTATTATTATTATTGTTATTGGTACAGTCTCAGTCTTCAATCTCCACGTCCTGTTAATCTCGATCTCCAGGTCCTTGTATTTGAACAATTTCTCGATATTATTATTATTATTATTATTATCATTGAGAGAGCAGTACAGAAAAACCGAGTCTGGTGTACAAATATGAAGTCCAATAAACCCATCATGGCACCCAGCCTATTAAGGGTATACCAAGTACATAACTCACAGCCAAATGTGCATGATATGGTGAGAGGTTTTGATAACATCAACGCATAACTTTGAATGTCGGGCCTAGTTAGAATTACAGTCAAGTCGGGCAATTCATTGCACTCGGACAATCTTCGATTGAGGGCATTCTCTAGTCACAAGATGTGATCTCCAAAATCACCTTGACTGTCTCATCCTTCATACTTAAAAAAACTCCAACCTTCTCGACACCTAGTCATGAATCTTCCTCACTACTCCCGCTTATGAACAGAGATGGAGTGTGTCATCCTCTAGAGGACTTGTCCAACTGGTTATAGTCGGGTAACTGAGAAGCAAGTATGTGGTACTGAACGGGATATTTACTGTCACCAATCTTACTTAATTCATCAAGGTGAAATATGTTAATACTTCTAATTAATTAGAAGCCACGAGACCCATGCTTGGTGTTGTATTAAGATAATTATCATTATTATTGTTTTATTTCCTTTGATTTCTATTGCATACTCATTTCTTTCCGGGACCTAACCAGAGACCTAAGGTCAGACAAACAAAAAAAAACCAATATCATACTTATTTTACATAGATAAAGCCCTCTATAAAGTGTGGGCTGTACTTGTGAGTACAATGTTTTGCATTTCTTTATGGCTTAGGTTACCAGGGATATCTTCAATGAGTTTATCGGAACCTTTTTCAATCTAACTGAGGGCTCCAACTACAACTGGAATTACTGATGCCCTCACGTGCCACATTTTTGAGATTTCCACTTCAAGATCCTTGTATTTTGATAGTTTTTGAAGACCTTCAAAAATAAATTACAATCTGAAGGGGCTTCTTTGTCAATAAGAGGGCACATTCTGTTTTTGTGGTCTTTGATAATGATGTCTGGGTGATTAGCTTAGATTGTTCTGTCACTGTATAATGTAAAATCCCATAAATTGTTAAAGGTCCTATGTCAGTAACCGAATCGTAATTTCCCAGGATTATTTTATTTATTAGTAGTTGATCTTTGCAACTATATGAACATCTTTGACATCCCTTCTGTTCTAGGAGAAGAATGTTGTTTTTATTGAGAAAAAAGTAGTTGATCAGTACAGACGTGATTAATTTATATATGTTGGACAGACATGTAATTGATTTAAAATGTTTTTGATCATCTGTTTCACCTGTTGGTAGGAGATATGTAATACGATTCTGGAATTTCAATGGGGTTATTAATTATCAATGATATAGTTTGTGCAAGAGTTTTATTGATTGATGACAGATGATAGATCCAAAAGTTGGGTTCCTTGTCATTTCCTGGAGGATATCGTAAGAGGTTGCCTAACATTCTTGCATGGGTTTATCCTTCATTATTTTTTGTTTTCGATATTCTGCATTGGTATTATGTTTTTTTGGGATGCTCCAATTATTCTCCCAAAACTTTCACTACTACTACTACTACTACTACTACTGTTGTTGTTCTTGTTCTTGTTCTTGTTCTTGTTCTTGTTCTTCTTCTTCTTCTTCTTCTTCTTCACACAGAAAATGGTTTCATGAAATTTTCTACTGATAATTTTTACAAAAAGAAAAATAAATGTGATCAATGGGCATTTTTCTCCCAAAATTTTTGCAGTTATTTAGTACTTGGTGGCTTTTTGACTTCTATAAATATTTTTCCAATTTCCTTGTAAAACTTCTTGAAATATTGGAATATCTTATTTTGGAGACAGAAGCTAGAATATCTTCAATGAGTCTATTGGAACCTTTTCCAATCAGTTCGAGGGCTCCAACTACAACTGAAATTACTGATGTCCTCTTGCGCCACATTTTCTTTTTTTGATTTCCACTTCAAGATCGTGGTATTTTGATAGTTTTTTGAAGATCTTCAAGGATACATTACAATCTGCAAGAACTGTCAGAGCAATAAAAAAGCACATTATTATTATTATTATTATTATCATTATTACTATTATTATTGCACTGCGTAATTACACTTATTAAATGCCATATTACACTGGTCTTTTTTTCGACCATCGATATTTAGTAATATGATGTTTGCTGGATTCTTTGATCAATTAATATTTATAATGGAAAACGATTCTGCGTTTAATATACCTGGTAAAAAGTTCATGGAAACATCTCTGAGCTGCTGTGCTGTATTAACGAAGAGAAAAATCGAAAAAATACCTTTATTGTAGTTTATTGCGACATAAAGCAATCATTGCATTAATAGTGACGTCATTCGTATTGCATTTTGCTTAGGTATTATGAAAACCTGTTATTAAACTTATTTCTTCTAAAAGACTTACAAAATGAAGGTTGATGGTGATTTTCTTCCAGGAGAAGAAAAAACGTGACCCTGCTACTTGTTTGTTAGCACCAAACTAATTAGATTAGCTTAGGTTAATTTAATAACATATTAAGCCGGAATTGGCTATTTAATACCGAATGGAAATCTTATAGGACAAAAATCACAATGAATTAATAGATAGGTAGACACAGGTCAGGTTTATATTTGAGTCAAATGTAGACACCGTGTTGATTTACACAAGTATCCTAAAGGTCAATATATGTCCAGTTTGCACTAGAGTAAAAAAGACAAGTATGAATCTGGTTTATACTAAAATAAAAAATAAAAATAAAAATAAAACTAGCAATAGTTTGGTTTTACATGAGAACTGAAAAAGTAGACATATGTCCGTTTTACATTGCTGCAAAGGTAGACATATGTCCGTTTTACATTGCTGCAAAGGTAGACATATGTCCGTTTTACATGGCGTTGAAAATACGCTAGGGTCAAAAAGGTAAATATCGGTCGAGTTTATACCCTGTGATACCTTATCCAAATTGTGATGTGATACCTTATCCAAATTTTCTACCTATGGAGGGTGAGGTTAACATTGATCGAGAAGGCATGAAAGTACAGCGATTGCACAAATAAAGACCATAACCCAGTTGTAAATAATGTAAATAATTCTTCACCCTAGGAAAGCAAACAAAAATGACAATCTAGGTAGCAACTTCAGCCATCAACAGAAAACTATGCATTTAAAATAACACCATTAACAATTATGGAAAAAAGTTTAAGAAATACTCAGAAAATATCTTATAAACAAGAATATTCACAGTGTCTGCAATGTCAATAATTATATACGGCGTAAGGAGGCACTGATGTTTGGGCATGTTGTTAGTAGGAGCTTTGACGAAGAACATTCAAGAAAACCTCCCGTATGTTGTCGATAATACTTATGACAACTGTCAATATTGACAATAAATAAATAATAACAGCCATATTACTAATAGTATAAAATAATATAGCGATGTAAAAGATAAAAATGTTTTCAATTAACAATTAACATGATTAGTGTTTCGCCTTTTATATCGATACTGAACAGATAAAATAATTAATGCTGAAATCATAATCATATAAGCAACAGCTTTCATCTAAAATATTAAAATTTAGTTTGTTAAAATATCATTAAAAAGGCATAGTCATTAAAACAATAATAGACATGCACTACGTGAGACATCATTAAATTTACATTAAAAACTATATTTACCTGTAATAAAAAATTCTCAGCCCAACCATAAAAGAAAAGAAGAAAAGTTTCCCATCAAAATAACTCACACACCCATCCAACTTTAATGAGGTCTTGCGATTTATCTGGTCAGAAGCACCTCCTCACATCGAGGTATTCCAAAAAAGTCGTGAGATTGTATTATTCGCCGGCTTGCTAGGCCTGTTGTATAGCTTACAGCAAACAGCTAATCACCATCGATCACCCATCTAGGTACTGACAAAGTTCAACGTTGCTTAACCTGCCATGAGCCCCATTTGGGCATCTGTTAAAATTAAACTCACTACATGTTATTCCTTGTATTTACATTGAATTGCTTACATACATTGCATTTGCAGAGGTATATTTTACAACACTTAGCCTTTAAAGTTTTTATTATTAGCCGTAAGAAGAGATTTTCTGTCGTAATTTTACATTTCACGAGTAGAAAAATAATGACTATTTTGAAAAGTATTTTTTTATTAATTCTAATCAATATTATTTTTTGATGTTTTA